TCCTTTTCTGATGAAGGGTCTAGGCCTGAAACGTCAGCCTCTCTGCTCCTATGATGCTGCTTGGCCTGCTGTGTTCATCCAGCCCTGCACCTTGTTGTCTCACCTCCAGGAAGAGCAGCTTCCAGGAAGGGAAACTGATCAGTTCATGGACCTATGTGATCACTGGATCTTTGTCACCATTGGTGAGTTTGCATGATGGAATTGAGCTCCATCCTGTGTTACTAAAGTTCAGTGTGATTTATGACCATTGGAATTGGGAGCCAAACTAAAACACAGGGAATTTCAAGAAACTTCCGACTGTAGTGTTCTGAGAGAGTTATCCCTGATGTGAATGTGCGTGTTAGTATAGTGAGCCAGCTGTCATGATTGTGACGACAGGTGAAGCTTTTCACTATTATGCTGCATTCGTCACTGTAAAATGCAAGTGACAATAAATCACTTAAATTCAAAATTAGAAGGAGTGAGAATGGGTAGAATCGGACCCTGCTTTGGTTGGGGATGTGAATTCTGGTGACGAATGTTTGACTAATACCATGGAGAATGTTTGTACTCTCTTATCTGGAGGATGACTATTCTGAGTATTGTCATGATTTCACTGGGAAGAACTGTGATCATGCCTCACTGTTCAACAACTCATCCCGAAATGTATAGAATCCCAATGATCTCACCATATGACCATTTTGTCTAACTGACTGTTATTCAAGACAAAAGTAATTCAGACCAAATTTTATCATTAACAAGAACTATTGTAACACACTGAACAAATGGCAGAGAAAAAGAAGAATTACTGATCTACTATTATATGACTTAAACTGTACCCCTTTAAGTTCTCCAAATACACACATCCACACACTCATTCAAAGTTAAGACAGACAAAAGACATACAGTTTAACAGAGACATTATGATTAGAAACAATTATAGATAGGGAAAACAAAGTTCCAAAGATAAAAAGTCATGATCTGAAGGGTGTGTGAAATTCTCTCACAATTACTTTTGATTTCAGCAATGATAACCTGCTGTTGACTGTAAGGCAATGTTTGTTCTTCACTTTATGTTTGATCCATGGACCTAGGTTTTTTTCTTTTTGGAATTCTCACTTTGAAGTCTTCTTGATTTATTTTATCTTTTCGCTCAACTGGGATAAAGAGAGTGAGATATATTCAATCAATCTGGGGACTGCCGACAGTCTTTCTTCAATTCCAGACTCTCGGTGCCATTCTGTCTTGATGTAACCTCCACTGTATTTCAAAAAGTAACATTGTCCTTCGCAGCTAAAACTGTACTCAAGAATTTTCCAAGTTGCAAAGCTGTCCGGGTATTTTATATGTAAACCAATCCCAACTTTCATTTCAGATTACATTCCAAAATGGAAATAATGTTGTCCCTTATAGAATGATGAGTGGGTGTTAAGTTTCTGAAGACCTGAGACACCTCAGCACATCATACCTCAACGTAATAACAGTGCTGTATGATCAACTTACCGTCATACAAGATGCATTTCAAAGTTTGGTGTCAGTCGAACATTGAGTTCTTTATGTCTATTTCAATGTAGCATTAGAGCTCTCACTGATTTTTCTTTTTATTTTATTCTTTTATCAATTTTGGTTTGGAGCTGGGAACTGTGAGCTATAGGTGACTTTTAGACTGTGGATAACTGCTTGTGTTAAAATAAAAATGAACTAACAAGCTTTTATTTATTCATGAGGGCAGACCTTGAAGTTCCTGATCAAAAGGTTTTGCAGCTGCTTCATCACTGAGGAAGATCATTATGTTAAAATAGTTAGAAGAAGTAGACTGTTAACAAGGTCAGTTCCTGGGAATTAGTTCCAGCAAGAATGGAAAAGGCCTTATGCTCAAGCAGATGGCAGATGTTGAATGGTAACTGGAATCTCATAGAGGAGATGCTGAATCTGTCAGGGACAGGACAGAGTTGGTTTTTGAACTGTGAATTCTGTGAAAAAGAAAAGTCACTGACTGTTGATAACAAGGCATGAAGATTTGAAAGCTCCCTGCCCAATCTATCATGAGCAGCTCTTGGAAGCTCAGAGAATAGAAAACCAAGTTCTAAATATTGCTGACTTTATCTGGGTGAACTGTAAATGTGGTTCTGATTGATTTCCGAAAATGCCAATCAAGAAGCCATCATTTATGCCTGTGGAACAATGCATCTTGAAAACCACTTAAGTAATATGGCCAATGTTGTTATTTTCTTTTATTTATCTCTTAACTGTGTTTTTTCTCCTGTCTGTCTTTTGTGTGAATGGGCCTGGAAACAAAGGTTTTTGGGTTTATAGAACAAAACAATTAGATTACTTTTTTGTTTCATTTTACTCTGCTAAAGTTACTATGTTCTTAATAAATTGCTAAGTCTTTTGTTAAAGATACAATCCAGTGACTTGAATTGATTATTTGCAGAATCTAGGATTGATTATTCAAAAGTATTTGTAGGAAACATTGGCATCAATCTTGAGGGTTTTGAAGGTTTTAACTTTACTGTGATTTGATTCAGCTATTTGTCTCTGTGTTGTAATAATAGATTTATAATGAACAATATATTTAGCAACTTGACCAAAATTCCAATACTTGTCAGCCCAGTATGTCCGTATTCACTGAAACATTCAGGATCCTACAGTAGGAATCCTGTACACAATATATTGGTCAATGTCACTGTGAGCTGGGATACTTTGTCCATCTTCTTCAGTTTTCTTCCCACTTCTAGTAGTGTATGAAACAAGGCATGTGCTGATGTCCACTCCATGGCTAAGATCCCTGGAACAGGGAACCAGCCTGTCACTAGAGGACAGAGCTTGAGGGACACCACTCTGCATCAAGCACAACCAATTAGGAGATTCCCACACTCTTACTTAAAGCAGGCATATTGGAAGGATTTACAGGTAGATATAACTTGTTTAACCATGTTTGAACAGACTGGTCCCTGTACCAAGCTTAAAATTAATGAAATGTCCATTGACATAAACAGTTTTTCAAATCGAGTTGTTTGAATCACAGTTTCCTTTTGGAATGCCTCAGGTATTTTTCCAATGGTGGTGATTCCATCACATCAACATCATTGTATGAGAAAGCAATTGGCCTCTTTGTTGCTCTGAAACTGTATCTTAACATCTGCCTATTATGTAAAAGTGGCCTTTCTTTAGTCATGGCTTATGCCTAAGGCTCTTTTTAGTCCACAACATTGACATCTTCTGTTCGGTCTCCTAATTGGGTTGGCTTGTCTGTGTGTCTTTAGAGTGTTCATACGTTATAAAGTGGATAAGTTCTGCTGCTCCTTTATGAAAAGGTTGATCTTCTCCTCTCAGATTTGTCTAAGTCTGCCTGGTTTATGCATCAAGCATAAATCAAATGACTTTCTCCAAACTGAAATATTCTTTTGACTATAATAGATATGAGAAAGATTCATCAATAATTTCAACAATACTATCTATTATGAATTCTAGTTTCAAAGCACCATAATCACAGTTTTCCACTAATCTGCAGACATCAGCAAAATTATGTATGGATTTCTTGGATACTGAACTCTTCTGGTAAATCTTGTACTTACAAGAATTTTGTTCCTTCTCGGATTCAAGTAATTGTCAAAAGCTTGTAAAACATCTTCAAATGTATCTGTGCCTTTTATGTTTTGATGATTTATCCTGTTATAAATCCTATTGAATACAATTATAAATTTACTTCTTCAATTTGGATTTAGTACATTCCTTTTTGATAGCAACTTGGCTTAGAAATTTTGACTATGGGTTCTGAAGAGGGGTCGCTTAATTTGAAATGTTCAATCTGCTTTCTCTCCACACATGCTGCCAGACCTGCTGAGTTTCTCCAGCATTTTCTGTTTATGTTTCAGACTTCCAGCGTCCACAGTTAGTTGTTGTTTTTAATCTCTTGGTCTTTTAAACTTTGTAGCTTTGTTCCATTATTTATCTTCCTTTAACGCTTTAAATTCTGCATTGAAGCAATGTTGCACTTCTGTTCTGCTTACTGGGGTCCCATGTTTTTGCATTCAAAATGTTGATTTCCTGCTTTCTGCAAGCAAAGTGGATGTTTCCTCACCTCTGTAGCCAAAAATAAGGTTTTCTGTGTTTTTCACAGGCAAAATCAATGATTTCCCATCTCACAAGGGTTAACAAGTAACGTATCTTAACCAGAAGATGCATTTGTTTGAACAAGATGTAATTTATATTACGTAACAACAGGTAGAAGTCATTATTGGCTAATAAATAAGTCATGATAAGTAAGTTTATCTGGAAACAATGATGACACTCATGTCTTCATCAGGATCTTAAGCTAAACTCCACTTTTCCTGACCTAAGACTGTATGATATTGAGATTGGGTGCAGCTTGATGCAGCCTCCAACATCAATCCTTTCAGAAGCACTACCTTACACAAGAGTATTATTCAACTGATCAAGACTCCAAGCCTTAATTGATTTATTTTAATAAAAGCTAACAAATCCTTTCCTTAAGAATTAATTTAACCCAGAAAGTGCAAGAAAGACGAAGAGTTCAGTGAAAAGTGCCCCCTTCACCTTATGCTCCTCTCTCCTTTGTTTATCCCTCCTGTGCATGTGCCGATCCCACCACTGCACATTATCACTGCCTTGAATTACTCTTCTGACCTGCTGTCAAACACATCCGAAGATACACATCCCACACTAATGTTGTCAGTTTGAAATCCTCTGAGGATGAAGAATGATATTCCCAAACTAGAAATCTCTGTCAAACATTTACCAGGGGAACTGAGACAGCAGCTGCAATAAATGAGGTTTTATTTATATGCTACAAGGACATTTAAATCTCCACCTGATCAGCATTTCACCATTCAGTTTCCCAGGCTTCAGGAAACTCATTGTTAATATTTGGAGCAATTTAAATTTTAAACGTGTGTAAAATGGCTACTGCTCTTAAATCTTTATTACATATGACATCAGAAATCACATAAATATGGTTAGGTACAGTGTGTAAAGGAATTTATTAAAACATTCCCCTTCCCATAACAGAAAGAAAAAATTTCTGCAATATCATTTGGAAGTTATTTTACAGACATTGTCCAGATATATTTTATATTTCACAGTCAAGTTTTGGGTATGCCTACACTTCAATTGCACATATAATCTTGAATGTGTTCAGGTATATAGTCCCAAGCAATATCTCAAACAAATAACATAATTAGCAAATGCTTTGCAGCAGACAGAATCAGTTTAAGAATTATGCATTGAAATGGCTTGAGGTCAAATTCGACCATCATTCTTTCTCATCAAAACAGGTACTGGTTGAAAAGCTTGCTGATAAAGCAATATCTAGTCTCTCTTTCCCAATCTGTGTACAGTGTTATTCAGTGTGTGTTAATTCTCTGGATACAAACACAACGGGTCGCCCTCACTGTATGGGGGATTGCTCCAAGTCCTGTGTCACTGACATCACACTGCAGGGTGGCTCCATTGTTGACATCATAATCCCTCAGCACTGGTGATGTCATCACTAGGTGTTTGATGGGAGTGAAAGCTGCTTCTTGTTTTGTGTCCCAGTCCCACTGAACACCCTGCACCATGAGACTGTGTACACCAGTACACATTCTGAGGACAAGCTGGGCAAAAATATGGACTGGTCATTCTTCTGTGGGCTCACTGATGTTCCAGAAGATCCATCAGTTATGTGAAAGCTTCATTACAGAACTCACACCAACGGGGATTTCTCTCCTCTGTCTGTTGGTGCAGAGGATACACTGACTGTACAAAAGACTTATTACAAACACCCGAAGAGTTTCTCCCGTGTGAACCAAGTGGTGTTCCAGATTGCCAAAAACATCAGGAAATGCTGATCACAAACCTCAAAGTTGAAGGGTCACTCCCCTGTGTGGATCCTTTGATGAAGCAAGAGTCTTGATGACCTTGAGAATGACTTATTGCACATATTACATCTGAATGGTCTCTCCCCTGTGTGAATGTGTTGGTGTGTGCGGAGGGTTGATGATCGTGAGAACGATTTGTCACACACCTCACATGTGAATGGTTTCTCTCCAGTGTGGATACGTTGGTGTACATGCAGGATTGACAACTGCGAGAATGATTTGGCACACATTTCACATCTGAATGGTTTCTCCCCTGTGTGAATCCTCTGATGTCGCAAGAGGTTTGATGACTCTGAGAATGATTTGTCACACACCTCACACTTGAATGGTTTCTTCTCTGTGTGGGTCCTCTGATGGAGTAGGAGGTTTGATGATCTCAAGAATGATTTGTTGCATACACTGCATGTGAATGTTTTTCCCCCTTTATGAATGTGTTGGTGCTTGCGGAGGGTTGATAATTGTGAAAATGACTTGTCACACAACTCACAGGTGAAGGGTTTCTCCCCTGTATGAATCCGTTGGTGTACACGGAGTGCTGATGATGATGAAAATGACTGGTCACACATCTCACATCTGAATGGTTTCTCGCCCGTGTGAATCCTCTGATGGAGCAGGAGTTTTGATGAGTTGGAGAATGATTTGTTGCACACTGTACACGTGAATGGCTTCTCCCCTGTGTGAATACGTTGGTGTATGTGGAAGTGTGATGACTGTGAGAATGATTTGTCACACACCTCACATGTGAATGGTTTCTCCCCTGTGTGAATACGTTGGTGTATGCGGAGGCTCGATGACTGTGAGAACGATTTGCCACACAACTCACACATAAATGGTTTCTCCCCCGTATGAATATGTTGATGTATGAGGAGGTGTGATGATTGCGAGAATGATTTGTCACATAACTTGCACAAGAAGGTTTTGTCCCTTGTGTGAATGCGTTGATGCACATGGAGGCTTGATGACTGCGAGAATGATTTCTCACACACCTCGCACCGAAATGGTTTCTCCCCTGTGTGGCTCCGTTGGTGTACAAGGAAGTGCGAGGACTGCGAGAATGATTTGTCACATACCTCACACCTGAATGGTTTCTCCATCATGTGAATGCATTGACTTGCACGGAGCTTATGATGTCTACGAGAATGTTTTGTCACAAACATCACAAGCAAATGGCTTCTCCCCAGTGTGAATGCATCAGTGAATCACGCTAATCATTATCTTTGAAAAGGCTCATTCCCACATCTCATGCTGGATTCCTTTCTCTGCTGTGTCGATGCCTTGTAAGTCACGAGACCTCATAAGTTGTGAATACTCCTCTTGAATGGCCTCTCTCCTATAGGGATGAGTCAGTGATTCGTGAAGCTCGGTGAGGGATTGAAGCTCTCACCACACTTAGAGCCCATTCACACTTCTTCCCAGTCTCACCCTGACTGATCACCACAGTCAACACTTCAGAAAGGTTGGTTCTGATGGAAGGCTCCACACCACTGACCAATTTCAGATCTGATGATGTGTGAAAGCTCCCTTGACCCAACCAATTTCCAGATGATAGTTTCACTGCCCAACCTTCTCTGTGTTGAGCAATGCTGTAAAGGGACTGGATATCTTCCCACAGTTGTGTAGTTGTTCCTTGGGTGATGGTCAGAATCTATCTGTGGTGTCTCTCTGTATTCTTTGGTGTAGTATGATGCAATCCTTCTGTAAAACAGGAAAAGGAAACATGATTTTGTCCAACACATTCTCCTCCTTTACTGACAGATCTGACTCCCCAATTTTTTCTTCTTTATAGAAACATAGAAATTGGTAGCAGGGGTAGGCCGTTTAGCTCATTTGGTCCAGTTCACCATTCAACATTATCATGCCTGACACTCTGTTTAACTGGTATGCATCTGCTTTCTCCTGATACCCTTGACATCTTTTCCCTCTAGAAATCTATCCATTTCTTTCTTAAATATATTCAGTGACGTATACATCTCTGGTTATAGATGCTCCTAGTAACACCAGCATTTAATGCCAATCCCTAATTGCCTTTGAGAAGTTGTGGTAAAATGCATTTTTGAATGTCTGTTGGTTAGGTACCTTCTTGAGTTTTGTTGGACCTTCACCATCCAGACGAAAGAAAGGGTATTCAATCACACTGCCTATTTGTGCTTTGTAGGCAGTGAATAGGGACTCGGGAGACAGGAGGTGAGATTTTCACCTCAAAATTCCCAGACCCTGACCTGCCCTTCAAGCCATAATATCTGTATGACTGGTCTAATTCAGTTTGTGATCAATGGTACCCCCCGAGATGTGATAGTTGGGGACTCAGCAATTGTATAGCCATTGAACATCTCTCAGTAATGGGGAGATAGTTCAACGTTCACAAGCATTTATGAGGCATCAAATGTTACTTGTGATTTGTCAGCCCAAGTTTGAGTGATGTCCAAACATGGACTGCTTCACTGTTTCAGAAGTCACAAATGGCACTGAACATTGTGCAATCATCAGAAAACTCACCATTTCAGTCCTTATAATAGTGGCAAGGTTACTAAAGCAACTGAAGATAGTTGGGATAACAAGGTGTAAAGCTGGATGAACACAGCAGGCCAAGCAGCATCAGAGGAGCAGGAAAGCTGACATTTCGGGTCGAGACCCTTCTTCAGAAGATGGTTGAGGTTAGGACACTTCCTGAAGAACTGCTACAGAGGTGTCCTGGGACTGAGATTATTAATCTTGAACAACTATCTTCCTATCTGCTGGGTATAACGCTAACCAGCCAAGAGCTTCCCCTCAGCAATTCTCAAGGACTCCAACAGAAATTGCTGGAGGAACACAGCAGGTCTGGCAGCATCTGTGGAGAGGATCCAGTGATCCTGCTTCAGAACTGTTCTGAAGAAGATTCATTAGACCCAAAACATTAACTCTGCTTTCTCTTTAGAGATGTTGCCAGACCTGCTGAGTTTCTCACCAGTTTCCATTTTTGTTTTAGATTTCCAGCATCCACAGTTCTTCATCCCAATGACTCTAGTTTTGCTCAGAAACCTTTGATACCACACTCAGTCAAATGCTGCCTTGATGTCAAGGGTAGTCACTCTCACCTTATCTCTGGAATTCAGCTCTTTTGTCCAGGTTTGGACAAAGGCTGTCATGAGGTCAGAAGCTGGCAGAGTCCAAGCAGAGCATCAGTGAGCAGATTATTAACAGTATTGTGGATGACTCTTTCCACCACTTCACTGATGATCGAGAATAGATTGTTGCGAAAGTAATTGGCCAGGTTGGATATTTCCTGTTTTTCAATCACAGGACAAATCTAGGCAATTTTCCACATTGCAGGATCAATGCCAATGTTGTTATTGTACTGGAACAGTTTAGCTATGGAGACAGCCAGTTCTAGAGCACAAGTCTTTAGAATTATTGTCAATGTTGTCAGGGCAGATTGCTGTTCTAGTCTCCAGTACCTTCAGCTGTTTCTTGCTATATCGTGTGGAGTGAATCGACTTGGCTGAAGACTGGCATCTGTGATTCTGGGACTTTTGGAGGACTCTGAGATATAACATAAACTCAGCACTTCAAGCTGTAGATAGATGCAGATGTTTCAGCTTAGTCTTTCGAATTCATGTACTGGGGTCCCCATCATAAAGTATAGGGATACTTATAGATCCTCCTTCAATGTTAGATCTCAGCTGCTGGTTGGACATCAATGTGCCCTGTCTTCTGCACACTGCTTCTGCTTTATGGTGTGCAAGTAAACCTGT